ATATGTTAACGAAAATCTAAAGTTTTTACCAAAAAGCAAATGAGTAATGAAGCTGACAAGGTCGCTGCAGAATGTAATAGATGCATAAGCAACTATTCTACGTTTGACCTTGATACGCTCAGTTCTCTCCTCGAAAGTCTCGTGGCTATTTCCATGGGCGGAAGAAGTCGGGATACGAGAGGCAGAAGATTGAAGTTTATCTTCATCAACAAGTAGTAGAGTTGAATCATCACTTAAAAGTGGAGCCGGGTGCTGTTGAAGATTTGGAGCTTGAGCGGAGAGACTCGAAGCAGGACTCTTAGGTGAGATGGGCAATGAGCCAGCGATCAGATCCGTAAAGAAGGTACACGTAAAGCTATAGTAGAGAAGTATTCCATAGGCACCAGGGATTGAGACAGTTACTAAAAAAATGTTGACCGGCCAATGGAAGAGGATGATGCAAACTATAAAAAAGAGAGAAATTGAGGAGAAAGAATTAGTTTGTCTGGATTGCGATGGGAAACAAGGACAATTGGGGTTCAAATAAATTTTTGTAGCACAATGTGTGGAAAGGCTAAGGTTTACTTTTGTTGTACACAGATTTGTGAGTATTCGATAATACCAGTAGATCCAGAATAAAAACTATATGTATCCTAGGTCGCATAAAGTGAGGAAGAACCCAGTTATATTTTCTCACTATCCCTCATCGCGCTACACAATCTACAGTAGACACAGTTATTTTAAATTACTTATGGTTAGTTAAGGAGTCTAAAGGTAATTGGTATGGATTTAAAAAAGATATAGTTGTAGAAAGATTCATTTCATGTGTAATGGATGGTCTTAAACACCTCGGCTTTATGATCGTTGTATGTCTGTTGTTAAGCGCGAGTTATTGAAATAACTATATTATGGAATAGAATAAATGTAAAAAGATGGAGTTAAAAAGCCATATAAGAACTACATATGCTTAACTGATAGACTTAAAGAGAGAAAAGATAATGAGCAAGCACCAAAAAAAGGAGACACCACTGCTCAATACAGTAAAGGTTCTAAGTACAATCAAATTTATTAAACAGTTCTGCTGAACTCATCAATTTGACCAGACGTACCAGTCTTCGTAACTTAAAGCTTTTGCAGGAGGAAGTTTTAGCTCTAACGATGGTTATCAAGTGGCATGATGGACTAAAGCTCGGTCCATTTCTGGGCAAAGTGTAGTTGAGATCACTGCAATACACTCAACTAAGGCCTATTCAAATGCACATATATAAGGCCAACAAGCTTCTTTTAGCCCCTACCGCAACCAACAAGCGAAATACTTCATTGTAGATAAAATCAAAATGACTTTCCTATGAACGCTGTCAGGGATTATAGCGAAAACAAGTTACTCAATAGGTTTACTTATTTCGAGCATAAAAGTTGTGAGAATCAGGTAGCTCAAACTAGCATGACTAGAAATATGGTCGGCTAAATTATTAAGAGCGTAGAATTATAGTTTAAGACACTGGATTTGTGATTTATGTAAAATCTGAATGTGTTTATGCTGGTCTAAGTAGTTAGGCCGAAGCTAATAGAATGACTATACCCCATAAATGCGGGCGCGCTTTTCAGTATGTATAAATGAAAGTATATACATATATAGGATAATGCGTTCTAGTAATTATACGTGTATTGGATTTGGTAAACAGAGTAAAAGTTGATTGACACAATTAGCTGATTAATAAATTAAATAAGTACGTTCTCGAACATTAAAATAGCATATGAAGGCAAAAAGAAAAAGAATACAAAATCATAATTTATCATATAAAGCCCAATTTAAAAGGCATCTTGGAGAATGATGTGCATAGATTGTAAAACTTGCGGTTCGAATTGAGCTAAGAACATATAAGTTTTCATTAAAACAATTCAAGTCTAATTCACTCTACCTGAAAAATGTAAGCTAAGGCGAGGAACGAGAAGACAGGGAAATCATAGCAATAGATAAAAATTAAAAGAGTAATCAAAATAGCAATTGAACAAACGTTTACTTAATAGCAACATTTGTGGTAAATATCACCATTATACACATCGAGGTTATAAAATTTGCGTATGTGGAATCAAAGGACTATAATTATGAGTTTTAAGTTACATATGCTCCGTTTTCATTGATAAATAACAAACATAACTTTGCTTTGAATAGCAGTAGATCAGATGGACTATATTAACCAAGTAAACCTTGATAAGTTTAATTTCAAACGGAATTAAGTAGTCAGTAATATCAAAATTTTTGCCTTGAAACGACATACCTTACAAGGTAGCTTGACTAAAATACTAATAAAACGAAGACCAAAAATTCTCGTGGTGTTCTAGGGCCCATGATAGGTAAAAGATAATTGAGACATGAATGCTAAGTTGATATGAATAATTGCTATGACTAAAACTATATTAGCTATATGAACCACAAATTGCCGACATTTCGACTCTATTAACAAGCATGCAGTCCTGCCTACTAGCGTAATGTCGCATTTTATACTAACAATGTATGGGAATAAAGATGCATAATACTATATAAATAATCAAAAGGTTTCACTATTTGATTTTTTAAAATCCTATACTATTTTTTAAAAACCCTAACTTCTTACTTAACTCAAATCAAAAGGGTCGTTCTAAATAAGCATTTATTACATTCACACATATTGGATTGATGTTATTTGCAAAGTATAACGATATGAATTGTCTTATAATACTTTGGATAAATTAGATGATAGTTGCGAGTTGAATTCTAAAAAATAAAATCAGCCAAGACAACCAGATCATTTTGGCATTAAAAATACGCCCGTGTACCGTATAGTAGGTTTAAAAAGTAAAGATATATCGATAGAGGAGAAATAGATAAAATTTGTCTATTTTTTTAATAAATTTAAGAAAGGTGTGTAGAAAAACTGAATTTCTAAGACTCTCTTAATAGATTGATGTTGGAATACTTTTGATTTCGTTTGAATAGGTAAGTGGAAGGAATTCGTAAGTTGGTCTCATCCTAAGCTGTAGAGGGATTGCCTTAGCATTGTGATTGTAGATTTTTGCGAATAGGTCCTCGGTGCACCCCCCTGCGACCCCGATGAAGCATATCTGGGCTTTGGTTCGTCATGTAACGGAAATCGTCAGAACAGGACGCCATGCTTAACAATAATTCATAAAAAATCGAAGGCAGAAGTACATAGGTTTGAGGTAGGCAAATTTTCTTGCTTTTCTGTTTTGGTGAATGATGGTTAAGCATGGTATTCTGCTCTGACGACGAACGTCACATGATGGACGAAAACTCAGCAAAGAATTATCTAGGTAGCAGGGCGGTGCACCGAGGACCTATTCGCACAAATCTACAATCGCAGCTCCAAGGCAATCTCTCTGCAGCTTCCGGTGATGCCAAATTACGAATCTCTTCCACTCGCCTCATTAAACAAAATGTAAGGTACTCCAACATCAAATTTAAGAAAGGCCAAAACAGAAGCAATTATGGGATGAGAATACAGCTCTCAATACAATACACAATAAAACACGATGCCTAAATCAAACAGCCAACTTCAGTGCACTGTGAACATAGCTACATAAGCATAACAAGATGTCGTTAAATAGGATTCTAAATGAAAGCATAGAGATATATAAAAAGAGGCTTAGACCACGGAAAATATCGAAACCAAAGAGAGATTTACCTAACGCAATTTAAAGAATGTGCAACCAAGCAAGAAGTTTAAGACATCCTCTTCATCATGTCATAAAATATAGTCGTTTTAAAAAATTAGTTTTTACGTAAAATACAAAATATAAGAAGGTCAAATTATAAAACTAAGATGTGAAGACCAAGATGTTGTGGCCTCGGGTATGGTCGCAGTCTCCTCTCGACTTATAGAAGTGGGT